CACTCTCTAAGTGCAAAATTTTAATTTTTTTCACTATGGTCCCGACAGGATGCACTTAGAGGGGTGTGACTGTATATATAATAATGTATGTACAATACTACTGTATCTTCGTGGATTTTATAAAGATCATTACTATTTGACTGTAATAACGATAATCATAGTAAAGAAAAAGTACAGTACTTTACACCTAACTTTACACCTCTAGAATAGCAAAATATTCGGATACAATTTTAGGGGTACCATTGGGATAAATAGAGCCAATAGAAACCAACAATCTATCAGCTATGTTGGGAAGCAAGTTGGGATTGAATTTGAACTCATTGATTGGTTGTTCCCGTACTGTACAAATTTATATCCGAATTTTTATCAGACTCTACCATACTGATATTGAAAAAAAGGCATTGTATTTAACATGGACGCGCTATACGACTCGCAACCTTACCTTACACTAAAAGTGACGCGTCAATCGGGTCCAATATCCAAAAAAGATATTTTAGCAGAGCCAAACATTGGCATCACAGCTGATCTAAACCCCTTTAACATAATTACGCAACCAACAAAAATTTATATGAAAGAAATTACCGAAAGCGAAGCGTCATTCTCAGTAAATTCAAGCGCAAACAATACAACTGATAATATCTACTTAGGTGCAACATTTGATAGCTATTTCACAATAACCAATGAATCAAGCCACTATGTTCGAGATGTAGGTTTAAAAGTTGAATTAATAACTTCCTCACAACGTTTATTACTAGCCGATAACACTGTGAATGGGCCAATTCCACTAATGGAACCTGGTAAAGTTAATGAATTTGTTATAAAACATGAAATCAAAGAGTTAGGTGTCCATAACATAGTTTGTTTGTATCAATATGCCACAAATGAGGGTGAAAAAAGATCTTTTAAAAAGTATTATAGATTTCATGTATTAAACCCTTTTGCTGTGAAAACAAAAGTTAATAATATGGGTAACGGAACCGTTTTTTTAGAAGTACAAATACAAAATGTTGCAGAAAGGTTTATGTATTTAGAAAGAATGAAATTTGAACCTGGCGAAGTATTTGATTATCAAGATCTGAATTACGTTGTTAAAGACGATAGAGATGGTAGAGCGAATGAGATGGCAGAGATTAAAGTGAAAAAGGCTGATGAAATTAAAGAAAAGGATGTGTGTGAGATGGAAGACAAAAGACAAACCGATGAACAGAATGTTAATGAAGAAATTAATTTGGTAGATTTACAAGACGACGCAAATTCTGATAAAGGAACTAAAGAATCTAAAGATAATTTAGATGGAGGTGAATTACAAAAGCAAGAGATAAAAGAATCTGAGTTGACACAACAAGAACGACAATATAGCAACAAAAAACCGATAACATCACCAAATCAAT